CGTTGCTTTCCACAACGATTATTTCGTTTACTTAATTGTCGATAAGTCTGCTTTATATAATTCCCGTATGATACTGATTTAAAATTTTCTATTTTTCTTTTATCTGTTGGAGAAAGTTATTTTATTGTCTGGTTGACGCGAATCTTGCCATTTACGTTCACCCCTTCTTTTTTGTGCTATTAAATCAGTTATGTCCTTAGGATAATTACTTGATAAAGCTTTCAATTCAGAGAATCTTGTATTTTTCCAGGCGGCTTTCTGTATCAATTTTATAAAATTCTTTACCTCAAAATCTAGTTTATCTCTAGTCTGCAGTTTAGCATTAAGGTTTATATGTCTAAAAGCATCAATTTTGAAGCCTACCCAATCCGTAGTTTTCCTAACTACAGTGGGTACACTTCGTTTGTTAGTTCTCAACAAGTTTCTCACTAAGGATTAATATTACAGCAGAGTGATCGGAATTCAAATTAAAATTATCTTCCAAACTCAAAAATTCTTTTAGGTATAAAAAATTCGATAAGATCCGGGACTTTGTTAGTATCAGTAGGCCAATAAGTCGGACTGCCAGTAGAATGATACGAAAATTCCAACTCCCGAATGGCTTCCCTCGTTCCCTACCTTCAGTTGAGGTCAATCTAGAGCCCCAATCCACATGTTTGACATTATAGTCTTTTCATTTTACGGTTTTTAAAAAAATGTATGGAATTTATATGAAGGGAAATAAAATGGTCACCGTTCGTTTATGTTTCAAGTAATTTTCTTCTGAAAATATTTAAAAAGATTTTTATATAAATAAATTTTGGAGGTTTATTTTGGTATTTGCAAGAAAAAATAACCTAAAGAGGAAAATTTTCATTTAAAATTAATTTTATTAAAAATATTTTTTCCAAAATTTACAGAAATTCATTTGATACAGATCTTCTTCATTTGCATATAAAAGGATACCGATTACATAAACAAAATCAAAATAAATATTAAATTGAAAAATTTTCATAAGATAAATTCACCTGATTCTAAGCATATTTCCGTTTTATTAGAAAACTCTTCAGAAAGCATCTTTATTTCGAAGAAAATATTGGATATTTTAAATAATCAGTGCTAACTTAAAATTAATACAAAATATCCCAGACAAATTAAAATTGTGAAACCTGCAAAAATAGGATGTTTGGTAAAAAATGTACGTTCGAAAATCTTAGCATGTCTAAAGTTTTGAACCATTGTTAAAATTGTGTTTTAAAAAAATTAAAACAGTTCTATTAAAAAAGTCTTTAAAAAATCATAGCATAGAAATAATAATTTGTTGTTATTGGTTACATTTATTTATATATATGTACATGTACATTTAACTAATATAATTTAACCAAAAAATCTGCAAAAGCAAAATTTTCTTTATTTTTTTTTTTTTATTAATCCGACAAAAGTATAAATTTTGCCTATGACATCTTTATCTCTAATAAAATAATATTGACTTATAAATTATTGATGCGCCAGTTCATGTGGCTTTGTCCTTTTTAAGCGGTGTACTTCATTGCCAGTAGGTAAAAGCTTCTTCATTTCCTCTTTCTGATAATTGGTTTGATGATGGCAAATTTTTTGATTTCAACCTTACTAATTTTGAGGTCCCTATGTCTTCGTTGCGAACATACGATGGTGGGTCAACAATCTGCCTAAGGATTTTGTTTTAGAATCTGTGAATGATTTCTACATTGGTTTTTTTCGCACAAGCCCAGAGTTGGATACCGTAAGTCCACATTGGTTTTAGCACTTGCTTGTAAATTTTGTTATGGATAGACAGCTCAAAATTTCTGCCCAACAACCAATTTAACTTTCTTGACTTTATATTCAATTGTTCCATTTTCATTTTTATATGTTCTTTCCATCTTAATTTCGCGTCTAGGGTCATACCCAGATATTTTTTAAATACCGTCAAGAAATATTTGAATGTGGAATAGTTTTAGAGTCGATAGTGATCGGAAGTGTTGTAATGTTTTTGTTTGTAAAGTTTACATCTGAGATTTTGTCTCGTTCAGTTTTATACGACATTTCTTTGCCCGACTAACAATGTCATTCACTGCTGCTTGTCCCTTTCCAGTTGATGCATGGACATTATCAGCTGTAGCTAGCAGCGCGGTGTCATCCACAAATGTGGCTGTAGTGATTTAGTTCTCCATAAGTAAATCGCTTGTGTATAAGAAGTATATTGTTTTCTAAGTATGAGTACCCTCCGCTATATCTTACACGATATTTTCTACTCGTCAAACATGATTTTAAGATTAGGTAATATTAGATTGGAAGATCACGATGGATTTTAAATTTAAGACCTTCCAATCATACCTTATCGAAGGCTTGCAATACATCTAGAAAAACACCAGTAAAAACTTGTTCTCGAAGCAATTCGAGCTCATTCAATTTGATTGGTGACTTTGTGTATTTGCTGAATAGTCATATGACCATTTCGGAAGCCAAATTGATATGATGGTATTAGATTTCGATGTTGAATAATGTGAACTTATCTTTTATACAACAGTTTTTTAAAGACTTTTGACGTGATTGGCAGCAACGATATAGGACTGTACGAGAAGAACTTAATAGGTGATTTGCCTGGTTTTTGTATAACAATGATTTCAGCGATTTTCTATATTTTAAACATTTCTATATAAAACAAATTTTCTATATAAAACAAATAAAAACGTTTCAGTCGGTATAAAACGACTGAATAATACCCTGCACTTTGGAAATCTGAGTTTAAATATTTGTTTTTGAAATATTTAGAAATAACTGTGTGCTAAATGGCAATTACTTGAACCTGCCAAACCACTCTATAGAAACTTCATGAATATGATATCTGACCAATAAGTGACGGCCGAGTTTCATAAATCTAACTTTCATATTTTTCCAAATATTTAAAATTAACTTTCGGAGTTGTATGGCAGCTACACGAACCTGTCACGTCATTCCACCAAAACTTCAGAAATATATCTGATTTGAAATTGGATACACGACTGCTGAGTTTCATGAATCTAGCTTTAAAATTTTTAAAAATATTTAAAAATAACTTTCGGAGTTGTATGGCAATGGTATAACAGTTGTATGGTATTCACGAAGTGCAGGGTATAATAAGTTATAGTTACGAATATTAACATATGATTGACTGGTAAGGTGCGCTTCAGAAATTAGGCATATAACAATATCGCAACTACTAAGAAATAATTCAAGTTCTTTCCAAAGAGATAATAGCCCGTTTGCATTCCATGTGCCTTTGTATAAGGGACGAATCATTTGTGTTTATTTCTTAAGTTGAACTGTTTGGGTTCATTTGGTTCACTTAATATATTTTCGTATAGCTTTTCATGTTCATCCAGTTTATTAACAATGTAGTTCAACAACACCTTGATTGAGTTTTCATTTTTTCTATGGTTTTTTACAATATGCGCGTACGTCTTTTCGACATTATTGTTACAACTAGGGATATTTTTTATAGTATCTTTTAAAGTATTAGTATTACACATTATAGTGTAATACTTTTAAAGTATACATTATTACACTTCATAGTGTTGGCATTACTCCATTTGCTATCAATACCATTGCTGGGCTTATTTTTTGGTGCGACGGAGGATCTTCTTTCAGATAACAACTTAAGTTTCTTTTTTTGTTTCTGTTACAGTACCTCGGGGTATGATTGAACGCTTGGCATCTGGTACATTGGACAATAACAAATTTATCTTCGTAGGTATGGTATTGTATTTTGAGTTGGTTCAGTCTCGCAGTAAGTGCCCTATACGACTCACTATTTGGAGTATTAAACTGCCAATTGTGATCCTTAATTAGGGGAAATGTTAGTATCAATTTAATTTTGACAGGTTTTGTGAGCATTTTTAACGAATTTTATTTTGAATTGAAACTTACGACTTGTTTACTATTTTTTCTATTCAAAATAAAATTTCAAAGTTTATTTGCGTAAATTAGTTTATTTCTATAAATTTTTTAAGGAAAAAAAAGGAAAGTTAATGCAAAAAAACTCAATTTAATACGAAGCAGGAAAATGTTTCAACATTGAAATATCACAAATTACAAACAATTTTTCATGCAAAAATCTGCCCTAAAGTTTTAAATGTTTTAATTTAGTTATTAATCAAACTTAATTTTCGGAAATGCAAAATACATAATACGTATGTATGTCATTACGTTAAATTTAAAAAGGAAAACGTTGAAAGTCAAGTCTAAAGAATTTTTTTTATATATAAAATGTAGTTTATATATAAATAAATTTTTTGTATTTTCCCAAACCATTAAAGTCTTTTAGTAAAAAGCATGTACATATTGTAAGTTCTTGTTTTTCGGTTTTAGTACCTATCGTGGATGTAAAACTTTTTAGTGCTTTGTGTCTGTCCGTCCGACCGACCGACCGTCCGTCTGTCCGTCCGACCGTCATTTCGTCCGTCCGTCTGTCCGTGTGTTTACTTACAAAACTTCTACACCCTTGAAGATAGAAAGCGGAAATTATATGTACATAGATCTTTACTAAAATCTCATTTCCGTAGAACAAAATTTTCACTTATTTTTTCCCCTATAGAAGTTATAAACAAATTATTTATTTCATGAGAAGATTTTTTTCCATCTCCATCCCCTCTTTCAAGTTATCGCCTCTCGAAATTTGCAAAATTAGAATTTTTAGTACCCTATATTTCTGAAACCGCAAGCTTTTTCAAATTTCTATAAATGCAGAAAGGTAACGGTAAATTCCATGACATTAAAAAATATAATTATTTTCCTTAACTCACACAATTACCCTTAAAATCGAGCATTACGTTAACCCATCTTTAAATTAATTTTTGCTTTATTTCAAAGACTGCATAAATCGTTTATGCTAAATATATGCAATCCTAATAGTTTCGTTTATGAATGAAAATAATTTTAATAGTGTGGTAGGTTTTTCAAAGCAGTATTTTCACTTGTTGAAGGGAAAAGTGCTACAATACAAACCATTAGTTTAACCCAATTTTATTTAAAATTTTTTTTATTTTATAGATAAAAATTAACCTTTCTTATCGGTTTTTTGCAAAAATTAAAGCTTTACAATTATGTTTATAATATTACAAGTTAAAAATAACAAATTAAATAATTGCTGGAAAAACTTTTGTAAAAATCGTAATTCTTATGCCTTTTTATTAAATAATTTACTTTTAATGACAATACGCAAAGTAATGTTTTCCAGCATTGTAGTTAATAAATATTTTTTTTCCTTAAAAGTTTTTTTTGTTATCTAACTTTTCCTCCGATATTTCTGTGATTAAAAATTTAAAATTTTAAATTTATAAATTTAATATTATCAATTTATACGAAATATGCTATTATTATTTTAAATTTTTTTTATGGAAGTCTTTTAATTTCTTCATTAGTAACAGAAAAAAAACTTCACATAAAAATTCTAGAAAAACGATAAATGATTTAATTTCAAAAGAAATAATTAGCAATACTAAGTAAGATTTTGTTTACTTTTATAAAATATGATTTATTCTAAACTGTGAAATTATACAAATTATTGTTACTTAGAACTTATGCAATCAAAGTTGACTTTTTACAATATTTTGTAATAAGTCATCACAATACTTTCCAAGAAAATTTATAAATCTTAAAAATATACTAAAATGACATACAAAATTCCAAAATATCAAATTAATCACTTTAGCTTAACATATAAAATTCTAAACTGATATCAGTTTATGAAACTAATTTTTTTTAGACAAATTTCATATAAGAATTTTAAACTTTATTCAAAGGTATTTCTTCTACATGTTTACTTTGATCAGATTTTGCAGGTCCACGTGTTTTTTTTGAACGACATAATTTAGTTTTTACTCCATAAACATCTTTACGGCAAAGTATTCCAATTAGCAAACTTACTACAGCAACTCCCATTATGGCTACAAAAAAAATAAGTTCAATATTTAATTAATTATTATTGGCTACAAACTAAAATCGTTTAATTACGAAGCTGAATTTTAATTTTACATAATATGCACATACAGTATTTGAAAGCATAATATACGTACATACATAAATACATTTGTAGAATATTCTAAAAATATTTATATGTATGTATGTATATAATGTCACCTTATGTTGGAAAAATTCGATTTCTTACCGAACAAACAATAATTTATGACTTCCGAAGAAATTTGGATAGTATTTTCATCATTTTGGGTATAATTTTGTGTTACATCATCATTTGTTGTGTTCATATTTTTTTTTGAAGCCGTTGCCATTTCAGGCAGTTTTGTAATTTTTTTAATATCTTTTATCGCAACTTTTTGAAAATTGATCTCGTCTAAAAATAAAAATTCTGGTTATGATACTTAAATATCACTTTCATGTGTATAACTAAGGATAATAAATCCATAAAGACAACAAAGCTCTATAGCATTAATTACAAAGAAAATGTTGAGTTTACTTACTTTGATTTTTATTTATATCTTTTTTTTGAAGTACAGGTATTTGTGTTCCTGACGAAATTAAGCTTTCATTAAATGATAATCCTGCAACCATTTCAAAACAACTTAAATCGAAATTTTTAAAACTAATTTTATCAATTGATTGAAGACTTTGACACAGTTCTAAAATATATGACTGTTCTAATTCAGGTAATGTCAACTTAACCAATTTTGGTAATGATGCATTAAAAGCTTGAGTATTGATTTTCTGAAAAAATAAAAAAATGTTATACGGATGTTCATTCATATGTATGTATATATTATCTTATTCTTTACATACATGTTTTGTGTACAAACAAAAATTACAATTTATTGTTTGTACACCAACAATAAATTACAAAAGTTCTGAATTTTAAAAAAGTTAAAATAAGCTTAAAATCTCACCTCGATTTTATTACAATTCAATCTTAACCAAAAAGCTTTATTTATTGTAATGGAAAATAATAACATGTGATAAAATTATCAACGAAAGTTTTAGTATTTCATGACTTAAAAATTTATGTTCTGACCTTTCTATATCTTTAACCATATTATGATTTAATACAGTACGATTTCATGTTAAAGAAATTTGTACAGAAAAAGTAGTTTTTGTCGAAAAACATGGCTTTATTATCACAAAGATTAAATACAAAAATGTGAACCAAATTTTTATTTAAATTATTTTCGTTAAACTAAATCAAATTTTAATTTCGTTTGTCAATTTTTTTTTTATTATTTTAATTTTCTTATAAAGTTACAAATAAAATTATAAAACAACCTTTACAATACCTTATTAAAGTCATTTTCATCCAGCATTAATTTGATCAGCCCACTCGTATTTTTAAAAGTATCATCGTAAACTTTGTTTATACTACAATTTGTTAAAACTAAAATCTCCAATATAGGAGCGTTTATAAAACTTCCGGATTGCGGTATTGTAATAGCGTTATTACTTAAGTTCAAAATCGATAGATTTGGATTATTGTCAAATGTATTTTGACTAATTGTTTTGATTTGATTTACAGCTAGGTCAACCATTTCTAGATTATTATTATTTTTAAAAGACTAAATTAAATCGTTGAACAAAATTTTGATTAGTTTTTAAAGAAAATCTGTGTAATTCAAATGAACTTACGCCTTCATCAATTGTGTAAATTTCGTTGTTAGCTAACAAAATTTTTTTTAAATTTACTAAATAATCTAAATCATTTTTATAAATTTTTTTGATTAAATTATGACTTAAATCCAACTCCATTAATTTAATCGGTAAATTTTTTGGTATTTGCTTTAATTTCCTATTTGAACAATTTGCAAATAACAAATATTCATCGCAATCACAAACATCTGGGCAATTCTGTAATGTTGTTCCTACTTCTACAAAGATCCAAAGATTAATTACATTTATATTAATCACTAAAAACAATTCTAACTTTTAAAACCATTTTCTGAGTACTCAGTAGTATTATTTTTAACAAAAATGTTATTTGCTGTTGACTCTATTGTAAAATTTATCGTATTACTGTAGTTTTCAGTTACATTGCTACTATTATTAACATTTGGTTGAAGTAAATTAACTTCTTCACTAGAATAATCATCATAATCATCTTCTCCATCATCAAATTTTTTCCAATAATTATCTTCTGTAGTTAAGATGTCACAGCTGCTTCTAAAATTTCAAAAATATTTATTTTTTAATTTTTACAAACCAAGAAATTACTTCGAAATCATTAAAATATTTAATAAATAATTGTTGAATAAAATAATGTTTTTTTTATCAAAATGTGATATATTCAGTTTTCTTTAATTTTTTAGTATATTTCGAAGACCTACATAAATATTTTTGGAACATACATGTATTTGTTGGAATTAAACGCATTAAAATAATTACCTTAATGGCAGCAAAAATATTAACAGTAAACTAAATAGATTGTAATACTTCATTGTCAGTTATTTCAACTTTTAATAATTTTCCTTGCACTCATCAAAATCAAATAATATTTTTTGAATATATTGAAAACATTAATTTTTATTTAAATTAATGATTGAATATTATTTTATCATATTTCATCAACATTTATTTTATATCGGCACATAATTTTTTCTTCATCTATTTGATTAAAATATTAGTAGTTTTGTGCATTTCTCTCAACTTTACTAAAAAATAAAAAAAAAGATTTAATGAAAATGTCGTGCAATCTACCAATATTTGTAACACTAAGTTATCAATAATTTCTGATACGAATAATTAAAATTTTTTTATTATTGGATAGTTTGAAACATTGAAACAATGAGTTAAAAGTACAAAGATCATTTAAAATACTAATCTATCCTTAACTAACATAAATTTTTTAGTGCTACGTGATTCATTCAAAGAAATTCTATTATCAACTATTTATATAATATATACCTACTTATAGGTATATTAAATATGTATAAGAACATATAAATATTAGCTTTTTAATTTATTAAATTGGTTTTCCAACCAATTCATAAAATGAAAACTGTTGATAGTTGTTTTCCATATTTTTTAAGGCCAATAAAGATAAAAAAATATTATCTAAAAAAGTGCTTCGGTAAATAAGTTCAATTAAAATGTATAACTCTTTCTTTCTAATTTGAACATTTTATAGTGTCACACAAATTATGTTTTGCACATAAATCTAAAGTTAGTACCCACCTATTTATTAAATTTAAAAAAATTGATTTAAGTTATGATTTCCATACGAAAATGAAATTAGTTTTACTAATATTGGTACCTATTTGATACCTAATTAAACGTAAAAATGAGCATATGTGCATAGGTACAACTTTTGACAATTTTTGAAGCATGTCATTTATTCAAACTAAAAATAAAAATCTCTATTTAAAACTCTATTGTGATAATAAATCTCTATTTAAATTTGTAAGCAGGATTTTCTTACTTAAAAATCAGAAAATTATTCAATATACAAAATAATGTTAAATATTTTTATACTCATATGTACCTACCATGCTATTTTATTATTGTTTAGAGTGAAGAAGTTTAATTGTGTCAAACAACAATATTACTAGAAAGTAATAGAAAATTGAATTAGAAGTAGGTACCTACCTATTTAGTTATACTAATTGTGTAAAAACATTGAATAGATTCAAAACACGAGAAGGTATATGTACCTACCTTCTTTTACTCTTTTGTTATTCATAAGTACGTCATGTAAAATTTTAAATATATTAAAAACTTGCAAATTTATACAAATATGGAGTATTATCGTGCCTTGAACTGAGTTTTTTTAAATTTGTATATACATATGTATATAAGTATTATATCGGTATACAATTTAACATGATTTAGCCTTTGTGATGAGCTTTAACATTCGTACATAGGTGCGTATTTTTATTTCGACAGGTTTTTGCTTTCTTAATTAGCTTGTCGAAATTTTGTTCTACCCATTTGAATCTAAAGTTCATTGTTCATTTTCCATTAAAATTTTTTTTTATTTTCAGTGAATCAGTTTCAATATTTAATTTCACATACGTATTTATTTCTATTGATTTTTTTTTATTTTACATGACACAAACTTAAAAAATTCATCAGCAAACTTAATATTATTATATGTATACACTTTTTAAACTAAAGTAATTCTATTACATTCAAAATAGTGAGCTTTAAAAAATGGAAACTAGGTAAATGGTTTATTTTTTCTTAATTATGTATAACATACAAACTTTGAACTAAACAAACGTCAAATAAAATAACTAATTGAGGAATTATACCAACATGTCTTGTAGGGATGGTTTACACATTAAACATTGTTCATGTATTTCGGTCGACGATTGTCAAACAAAATCTATGCTCTGTTAATCTATGCTGGTTTACAAATGAAGCAAAATTGTACGATTTTGTTTGAAATGATCAAATTATAAAGACTAGGGGAAGGAGCATCTTGAAAAAATAATGAAACAAATTTTTTCTAGTTGTCTCGTTCTTTGGTCCGATAATTGTCAAAGTCATAACAGGAGCGTATTTCTTTTATTTTCTTGTCTGGCCTCTACTATAAAATATGTATTATTTATAAAAAGGATAAGTTATTTTTTTTTTATAAAATAAAAACTATTTAAAAATAAAAATATTTTAAAAATAATTTTTCATTTTAGATATTTGTGAAAAAAAAAACAAATTTAAACAAAACTCATTTTTTTTCTCTTTCAATAAATTTATTTTAATAAATAAATTTAATGAAAGATTAAATAAACTTATTTCAAATTATTAAAATAAATTTATTAAGTTTATAAAAAATAATTTTATTTTAATAAATTGCAAATATTAATTATAAGTATTAAGGATTATAAGTATAAAGGACTTTTTTTTTAGAAAAAAAAAGAAATGCATAGTTCCAAATTGTTATTTCCATTTGAAAAAACAAAATGGTTGTTTTCCTCCATATGCATGTGATATATTTTACGATTAAAAGAAATATTCACTCAATAGTGTTAAGTATAATTTATAAGGTTATATGCTTTGACGAGCTGTACTCCGACAAATATGACTCAAATCAAATTAATTGTAAAACAACAAATAAAGAATATTCAATCGTCTTCAAAACAAGCTCCTAATGATTGTATGGTTTTTTCAACAGGTTGTTTTTCGACGCATAAACACAAACACACATAATCACACACAAAATAGACATAAACAAAACAGAATATATTTAGCACATGAAATTAAAAGTTGAGCTACTTGGAGGTAATGGGTCTATTTCACAATGCAAGAGTTGCCAGGGGTTCGAACGTACAAAAATATTTTGCTAAAGAGGTGCTAAATGGATTAAATGTCTGTTGACATTTCATATGACAGCAGAATGTAATAAAAAAGATAATCTTCAAGCCATGGCGTTCTAATTAGAACGCTAATTGCGTTCTAATTAGAACGCTAATTGCGTTCTAAAAAGAGAAAGCACGAATTGGAGGTTTTTCTAGAACTAAAAATATCGACGTATGTCTGCTGTCACTTGGGGAAGAATTTGGATGAGCTGGTTATATATGTTATATAAAATAATGAAGAATCCAAAATAGAGATGGTGAAGATTCACCTTAAGAATGAGTGTGAAAATTGAGTCTAATAAACAAAACTTTAATGTTGGTTAAATATGTTGTGCATCAAGATGTAACATAAATAGGTAATTTTTATTTTAAGGATCTCCCATGGGCTGAGGGATATAGAACCTTACTGGGAGGTAACTAAAATGTTAAAATGTGGATTTTGATTCTAGATTGACCTCAAGTAGTAGTAGAGAATTGAATAAACTATTCGAGAGTTAACATATTCCTATTATTCTATTGGCACTCCGACTTATTTCCGTGTTGATGCCAACAAACTCCAAAATTTTATTGACTGTTTTATTTCTAACAGAATATCTTCCAAATTTTGCAATTTTAATTTGATTTCCGTTCACTCTGCTCTTATATTAACCTTGAGTGAGAAAGTAGCTAACAAACGAAGCGGAACCACCTCAGTCGATTGAACCACGGATTGCTAGTTGATCTCTAATCTGCTGAACTGCAGACCAATTGTAAAGCATTGTGAAGACTAGATTCAATTGCTTCGATTGATTATTTAAATGAAAGGCATCTACAAAAGATAAATATATATAAAAGATATATATAAATTGGAATTAAAAACGGTTTCTCATCATGAGTCATCTACTTAATTTTAGAAAAATTAATCTCCGAAAATAAAAACAACATCCTCTGGGTTAAGAAAATCACATAAACAATTGCCAAAGAAAATTTTGAGTATAATTCATTACTTGGGTAGCAGTTGACTAAGTAAAATGTTCTAAAATTTAGCTCAATTTTAACAGCAATAATTTCAAGATCATCGAAGTCCTGAATGTCAATAATACTAGCTGATAACAAATTTTTGACGACGATTAATGCTCCACTTTTAGAGTATTTTCTCCTCCCTTTCCTGCAAGAGAAGTTCATGTCGATCCTTTATAAAAACAGAAAATGAAGAGTTAAATAATTTAAGATTATTAATGGAGGGAGACAACCAAGTTTCCGTTAGAGCATAAATATCACAGTCAAGAAAAGAAGTGTTGAGCAGAACAGTGTTAGTTTTAGTCCTTAGTTCACATTTTGATAATACAGAGAAAGTTGTTTCCCAGTTCTTGTCATACAAAACAAGTTAATTGGACCAAGTTATTGTTGTTACGAAAGCTACTTGAACCATTTGGACAATTGAGCTGAGGTCGACGGTAAAAAAACCTTGTTGTTTACTTCCCTCATTCTCTGAAAATAATCGATGCATATACTTTTCATATGGTTCTTAAAAATTTGTAAATCTTTATCAAGATTGGTAGGTATATTTAAAGTGTCATGAAATCTTTTGAATAGTATATTCAGGGTGAAAGGCTCCACTTTCAATGAAAACTTTAAGATTTAATCTAGTTTTACCATTTTTAGGAGGAGGGGGAACATTTTTAAGTACAAGATATGCAAAATACAATTTAACATTCTCATATACAGTACGATCTTTGAACTATCGCCATCTTCAACGGACTTTTTGGTCATACGAACGATCGGAGAAGTTAGCGCATCTATAAGGTTAGTCGGTGGATATCTTTGCAATAAGGGAGCATTGTGCAGGTTGCTAGTGTTGGGTATAGATATAGAAAATTTTATAATAAGCAAGCATTGTGTAGGTTGCTAGTGTTGATTATATATATAGAAAATTGGGTGCTAGTTGTGAAACTTTTACCCGGAATGAAGTTAGAATATTTGGATACATTGTCAGTATTTTTTTGCTATTATTATTTATATTGTCGTTATTGTCCTTGCCATTATTTTCAGTATTATTATTACCATTGCTATCGACATTAATTTCATTATCATTATCTTTATTATTGTTAATGTTATAGATATTCCTATCATTAATATTGTTATCACCATTATTGTTGTTATCATTATTATTATCAATATTATTATTATTATTATTTCTAATATTATTATTGGTACTATTATTATTATTATAATTATTATTAGTATTTATTATTTTTTATTTTTTATTTATTATTTTTTATTTATTATTTATTGTTTATTATTTATTATTTATTTATTATTTATTATTTATTTTTTATTATTTATTATTTATTAATTATTGTTTATTATACATTAATTTTTGTTATTTGTTATTTATTTATTATTTATAACTTATTTTTTATTTATTATTTAGTATTTATTATTTATTATTTATTAATTTTTATTATTGTTTGTTATTTCTTATTTTTTATTTATTATTTATTATTTAGTATTTATTATTTTTTTGTTATTTATTATTTACTATTTATTATTTATTATGTATTATTTATTATTTATTATTTATTATTTATTATTTTTTTTTTATTATTATTTATTGTTATTATTATTATTATTGTTTTTTCTTTATTTAAATAATAATAATTATTATTTTTTTAATTTTTATTTCTCTTTATTAGTGTAAAATACTATTTAAAAATTCAGTTCAATAATTAATTTCAAAATTTTGTTAAGAAATCTATGCATATTAAAAATATAATAAATATTTAGAGTCAATATAAAATTACTTAAGAACAATAATATTTAAAATCCAAATTTAATATGTATATACATAATCTGTTTTAAAATTTGAGTAAAAAATTCATTAAGGTTTAAAAAGCTCATTAACAATAAATAATTTAAATTTCATTGTGTATTAAATACGTAATCAAAATTCTTTTAAAGCTATCAACATCATTTTTGTTACGGATTTCTGAAGGTAGTTCATTGAACAATTGAGGACCCTTAAAGATATTATGTTGAGTTTTATTTCTTCTAAACAGTGGAAGCCGAAATAAGTTTGCTGACCTCAAATTATATCACACACATAACTCAGCAGACTGCTTAGATAACTCGGTAATAAATTAATTTCATTTTAAATACAAAAACCAAAGTGTTAAAATTAAGCCTTTGCCTTGTTGACATCCACTTTATTTGACCCAACATGTAGTTTATATTTGTTCTTCTGCTGAAAATGATACGTATAGCTTTATTTTGCAAAATTTGGAGTCTACTTTTTTTTTGTTTCGCTACACAAAAATAATAATGAAGAACAGTAATCAAGATGTGGTAAAATCATACTGTTATATATTGTTAGAGCACAGTTCGATGTTAGACTGCTTCTAATTCTTCCAAGATAACCAATTTTTTGACTGATTTTACTGCTAATATATTCCGCATGATTATCTAGACTCAATTTATTGTCAATCTGTACCCCCCAATATTTAATTATTGCTACACTTTCAATTTCTTCTATCATTAAGTATCATACATTTCGTTTTATCTAAGTTTAATTTTAATATATTCATACACAACCATTTAAACAAATTTTGCAAATCTGCATTCATTCTATTACAACATTCTTGTGTATTACGGCCAATTGTGTAAATGAGTGCATCATCTGCAAACAATACTATTTTACCCAACGTAATGCATGATTTGATGTCCTTTATGTAAAGTAAGAAACACAATACTCCTAGTATTATTCCTTGTGGAACTCCATTACCAATTAATTCAGAGGGTGATAAAAAACCATCTACATTAGTTCTTTGCGTTCTGCCTCTTAAATAACTTTCGAGCCAATCCAATTCGGTGTCACATATACCATATTCT